CAAATGCAACAGTCATGCTTGGCTGCAAGAATTTTTTGACATCTTGGACGACGTTGGACTGTTTAAAAAATAGTCAACACTGTCATCCAATCATTTTATTGGATTTTTATTATTATTATTATTATTATTATTATTTTCTTTGGCCATTTCTATTTGTTAGCCAATTACTCATTTTATCAACAAATTTGTGTGTTGGCTAATCCTAAATCTTATTTTCAACCATGGAATCGAGTTGGTCGTGCGACTCTAAAGTTGAAACGTTCTATTTCGACGAGCTCAAACTAAATGATTAACTTATAAAGAAGTCCTAAATGAAAAATTTAGCCTGCACTTGAAGGTCCTAAATTGCTGTAAGATCATTGCTTACCAAGATCAGGAGAACAAAAAATGTAGAGATATCCAATCGCACCGAATAATATTATTTATCTAGAATCATCAGTTTAATGAACATTAAATTTGGTTTTTCTTATTGCTTCTGAGGGTTTGGGTTGCTACGTTGATTTGTGCAGTGTTTACAAATGCTAGGGTTATATTCTGCAAAGTATATAGAAGATGGGATCGTATTCGGCAAAATGTTTCAAATTGAGGGTTGATTTGCACACAAATGTTTGAACAACTGTCATAATCTTCTTCCTCTTCAATAAGGTCTACATCCCAATTTCAAACCAACTCAGAAGAACCAGAAAACTTTGACTTTTATGCCATTAGAAAACTTCATGAGACAAATACCACAAAAAATAAATAAATAAATAAAATAAAATAAAATAAAAAATAATAATACTTGGAGGTTGGGAGGTGGATTTGACTAAGAGGGCTTTGATTATTCTGAGGACATAAAAGATTAACATTAATTCGTGCTTGATTTTTATAATATATTAAGAAAATGGAGGAAGAGTTCTCAAAATTTGAATCGTGTGACTCCTAACATATGCCCAGTAAATCGCAGATTTATGTATTGTGAAGAACATTCATTCTCATTTACTGGTGAAGAGCACAAGTGGGTTCCTCCTCCATGAATTGGTCTTGGATGCTCTTAAGTGAAAATATGGAGTTGAAGAGACGAAAATGCCCTTTGTGATTTTATTTATTTTGGTCCTCACAATTAACTTTAACGGAGAAACTAACATATATGAACAATAGGAGATATTCCGCAAAGTTTGGCTGATTTAGGGGGATTTTGCGTCAAAATGAAAAAGTAAGGGAGTATTATGCAAAATAGGTAAACGTTAGAAGGTATTGCACCAATTATCTTATTTGCTGGCAGTCACAGTGTGGGGGTTCGATTCCATAGATATGGAATTGGACTCCTTATAAGCACAGTGTACAGACAGCTCTTGTTCCTTGGCCTGATGGGGCACATTCCATGATTTACCTCCTTCACAAACCTTTAGGGACGGGGTGGTGGGGACTCTCAAGATTGGGGTTCAACCTTTTTTTATAAAAACAAACCTTTTTTCGTATTGCCGTTTACCAGGACTTTCAAATGTCAACTACCCAATAGCTCCTGATCTGCATACAGTAAGAACAGCAAGTGAAGTAGTATATAAATTCTTCGAATAATCAATGAACCACAATAAGAAATTAAGAAAATTAATTTTATATTGTTTTAAGTTTTCCATTGCCGGCAAATTATTGATATCCGCTCAGCATTCAAAGTCTACATACTGCCAGTTTGTCAATTTTCAAACAAATATCCTGTTAACTGAACAAGTCTATGGTAATCTAGAATCCAATCAAGTCAAGTCATACATAAGACAGCCCAATTGAGGTCAATTGAGAATATTACAAATGGTGGACCAACAATGGAGAAATTGCAAGGAATATATTAGAATGATTACTGTGGCCTAGCAATTGCTGTTTCTTCAGATTCAAATACCGTATATTGAAAGTTGAAGACAAAAACACAAAGCAAAACATAGAAACAATTAGCCATGAAGAAATCTACCAAAGATATGTCATTTATTATTGTCTTACTATTTTTACTGTCCATCTCGAAGATTTCCACTGCAATTGATACCATCAATACAACTCAGATCCTCAGAGATGGTGACACCCTAGTTTCATATGGGGGAGTCTTTGAACTGGGATTTTTTAGCCCAGGTAACTCCAGGAATCGGTACGTGGGAATTTGGTACAAGAAGATACCTGGTAACACTGTGGTTTGGGTTGCCAACAAGGAAACTCCGCTAACAAGTGTATCAGGCATCTTGAAGGTCATTGAGCCAGGTTTGTTAGCTATTCTGAACAACACTAATAACATAGTATGGTTTTTGAATACTTCAACAGTTGCTCAAAATCCAATTTTGCAATTGTTGGACTCAGGAAACCTGGTCCTTAGAGAAGCAAGGGATGATAATCCAGAGAATTTTCTTTGGCAGAGTTTTGAATATTTAAGTGATACAACTCTACCAAGCACAAAATTTGGTTTGAATTATGTAACAGGTAGAGAGAGCTTTCTGACATCATGGAAGACCAATGAAGATCCATCTCCAGGAAATTTTACATTTCACTTGGATACAACTGGATATCCTCAGGGCATCATAAAAAGAGGTAATCTAATCGTGTGTAGAATTGGGCCCTGGAATGGCATTCGTCTTAGTGGGATACCAAATGCAAGGCAGGATCCAACATACGCATATGGATTATTCATGAGCAAGAACAGGACATACTATTGGGAAGAAGCCATTGACAAGTCGGTTATTTCAAGGGTTACTCTGAGTCAGAGTGGAGTTGTACAGCGCATGACATGGGTAGATCGAATCCAGGACTGGGTTGTGTACCTGAATATACCAGCAGATATTTGTGATACTTACAAATTATGTGGTGCTTATGGCAGATGCAATATTGGAAATTCTCCTTCATGTGGATGTCTTGATAAATTTGTGCCAAAAGATGCACAAGATTGGATTAGGTCAGATTGGTCAAATGGGTGCATCCGAAGGAAACCCTTGAATTGTTCAAAGGGTGATGTATTTTTGAAGTATTCTGGAATTAAATTACCTGACTCGCGATATTCTAGGTTTAACAAGAACATGACAATTGAAGAATGCAGAGTGGAGTGTTTAAAGAATTGCTCTTGCATGGCATACACACAATTAGATATTAGCAAAGAGGGAAGCGGATGCTTATTTTGGTTTGGAGACCTAGTTGACATCAGAGATCTATCTGTCAACGGACAAGATATTTACATTAGAATGGCTTCTTCCGAGTTTGGTAAGAATATGAAAAAATAATCAATCAAAAAGTCAATATCCTACACTAAACAAAGATTGTATTTCTTATTATCCCACAAGCTGGCAAACTTCTAACAATGTAAATGTTACGTTTACATTTAGTCTAACACAATTTGAAGGCCTTATCATGAACGACTAATCAATTTTTTGTTTTTTCTGGATTAAACTTGTTGCAGATACGAAAGGAAAAAGAAGAAAACTATTGATATTGAGTTTGACATCATTGATGGGAATGATTCTGCTGGGCCTGAGCTCGATGCTGTATTACTGGAAAAAGAAAAAAAGTTACAAAAAGACAGCAAGAGGTAAGCAACCTGAGCCATTTTACTCTGAAAAAATATAATGAAAAAACTAGTCCAAGAGCATGGAGAACAACATATACATGCAAATAAACCTATAAATAAGCATGAAAACTGCAAGCACATCTGACAGAGCAGTATTTCCTCTTTCCAAGTTCTCTTTGATAAACTATATCCTCCTATTACTCATGTTTCATGTTTCAGCAAGCCATAACGAAGACCATGAGCTGCCATTGTTCGACTTATCTACAATTTCAAAGGCCACCAATAACTTTTCAATCAACAACAAGCTTGGACAAGGTGGATATGGGCCTGTTTATAAGGTAAAAATGTGCACAATCTGCAAGTAGTTTTCTGAGAGTACTTTGAGCAAGTTAGTGGAACACCACAGAAGAATGACAAGACTAGTAAACATCATTTGAGATGAGATGCCTTGAGTTAACTCTTGTAGAAAATGAATAAATGTAGTTGAGCTTCATACATGAAGCACGAATATAAGTTGAGAAAGAGTAAAAAGTTCATTTAGTGAATACGTTTTCAATTGCACAAGTTATGATCTCAGGGGATGCTGGAAGACGGTCAAGATATTGCTGTGAAAAGGTTGTCAAAAACATCCATGCAAGGACTTGATGAATTCATGAATGAAGTTATTTGTATTGCCAAACTTCAGCATCGAAATCTTGTGAAGCTTCTAGGATGCTGCATTCAGGGACAGGAGAAGATGTTGATCTATGAATACATGCCCAACAAAAGCCTGGACTTGATTTTATTTGGTGAGGATTTTTAACTCTAGTACAATCAGTTCAAAATTACCTTAAATTTGGAGTATTAATTTAATATAGAGACAAAATGAATATCTACCACTTTTAACTCATTGTTTGAACAATATGGTCAGTGGCATCTTCATAAACATGCTAGTAATTGAAGATTAATGCTAGTACAGAACTGAAACCTAGGTGATTGCATAATTATAGGAAAGCATTGCTCTTTTGATACATGTACCCTTCTGCATTATGGCTTCCCAGAATAAACTTAAGATTTTGGAATTAATATCTATTCTCCAAGCATAAGACAACTGGATGAGGTATATAATGACTCCCATATATTTTGGCAGATCAAACAAGATGTACATTACTTAATTGGCCTAAGCGCCTCCAAGTTGTTAATGGAGTTGCTCGAGGACTTATGTATATTCATCAAGATTCCCGGTTGAGAATTATTCATAGAGACCTCAAAGCAAGCAACATATTACTAGATATTGACATGGATCCAAAGATATCAGATTTCGGAATTGCTAGAACTTTTCGAGAGAATGAGAACGAAGTTTTAACAAGCAAAGTGGTTGGAACATAGTAAGATTCTCAACAACATAAACACAAGGCATGCATTTTTATTGCTTGTAACAATATTTTCTGACTAAAATTCTCATGCAGCGGCTACATGTCACCTGAATATGCAGTGCATGGTCGGTTCTCAGTAAAATCAGATGTATTTAGCTTTGGTGTTTCGGTGCTAGAAATTGTGAGTGGCAAGAGAAATAGTGGATTTTCTGCTGAAGATCAACACCTCAACCTTCTTGGACATGTAATTATTATCTTAGATATGTTAACATACATGTTTATTTACATTCTACTAAACCTGATGACAAGGCCTGTTACTGTGGTCAAACTTCTACAGGCATGGACACTTTATAAGGATGGAAGGTCATTTGAACTAGTTGACCCTTATCTACGTGACTCGGCTAATCCATCTGAAGTTCTACGATTAATCCACATGGGTCTTTTATGCGTTCAACAGTGTCCAGATGATAGACCAAGCATGACTACTGTGGTTGCAATGTTGGACAATGAAATTGCATTACCTCCGGCAAATCAGCCCGGTTTTTTCACAGAAAGAGATGCATTTTTAACTGAAAGTATAGCTAGCAATTCATTATGTGGGACCACCATTACCCAGCTGGAACCAAGATGAAAGGAAAGAATATTTTCTTGGCCCATTGATTACTAGTTCACTTATCTCTTTTGAACTCTGTATTAGCACTTTTGCACAACAAAAATGCGCAACTAAATTTGCTATTCTAGAATCAGTTTCAAAGTGTGAAATGTTGATTATGAAATTAGAAAGCATAACTGTGGCAAAACATCGAACAGGTAGTAGATAATTTTAGGTTATCAAAATAAACAGATATGAAGTTGGATCCCAAAAAATAGTGGTTTAACGATAATTACCTGGAAAACAGATGATCCTCGGCCATATTGAATCCAGTTTTAGTAGGCATAAGTCTGAACCACATAAGCTCATCCTAGTTTCCCTATATGCCAAGTTTTACATTGAACTTTTTCTTCAATTTATGATAGGTTCTCTCTGAAACAAAATTGAATTACATGAAATTGAACTGAATAAATTTTTTGAATAGTGTTGAAATCAAATTTATCTTCGAATTCATAGTAAAGAGTATTCATATAATGATATCATCAAGGTTATAAGGTTCTTGTTATTACTTTGCTCTTTGGTTAGAGAGTACATGTTATTATTATTATTATTATTATTATTATTATTATTATTATTATTATTATTATTATGACGGGCGAAATCGCAGTCGCTATTTTTTGGGTATGTACTGGATAAACTCTCGGGCTAACGCAATAGCTTGTAAGCCACGCTAGTCAGGTAAATCGCACTAGACAAACCCGATACGACAGACTTGACTAAGAAAGTGTTGATATGGGGAATTGAACTCGTAATCAAAGGTCTCTCCGCACTCATCTATTCCACCAACTCGACCACCTCATGAGGGACAAAAAAATTTGTTGTTATTATTATTATTGTTGTTGTTGTTCGTAGTTTTCTCGTTACATTGTCCCTCTCTCTTATCAAAAAATTTCTTTTTTTTTTCTTTTTCTTTTTTTCATCATTCTCGCTTATGTTATATTTATGCATACTATGCCTATATTTAATGGGGATTAAAATCAGATTTTTAGTAGAATTTGATAAAAATTGAAGAAATGTATGGTTGAAAAGCTGTGAATCCATAAAATTTATGATTAAAATTAATTGTTGAATTTGATTTAAATTGAAATCACTACCAAATATGAGCTATATTTGTTGACCTCGGAAAATGAAAGCCAACAAATCCATGGGTCGCCTAACTGATTGATCATCTTTCTAAGCCCTTGTCTTGTTATCGGAGCTCTAGAGAAGCAACTTCATGGTGAAATTAAGTTGCTACCACTAGGGACTTAAAAGATGAGGAACAAGAATTTGACTAGAGTTTCTAATAATACTTAATTTCCTTATGATTTTCTGGTGGGGGTGGAGGTATTTGTGGATTTCTCAAGGTAAAGGGATTTTTGGGTCTTTTTTACTTTTTTACTTCACAAGATTCTCTAGATCACATTTCACACACTATTCTAAATGTTTTTGCCATATGGAGCTTTCCTTGCCTTGACCCGTGGCTAAGAAACTTGTTTGTTTACAAGAATTTATATATTCTCCATGTTTTGAACATTACATTTGCTGGTGGATTCACTGAGGAAGTTGCTCTTTGTAAGCTTCACTAAACTTGCTTTCCTCGTATGCGTATGGGTTGATCTCGGCCACTAGAAGTTCGAAAATTAGGGAGAAATTGTCAAATAGATCTGCTTTAGCCAGGTCAATGTGGTGTGGCAAAGACAATCGAAGCCTTGTTATGTAGTAACATCGTTCTAATTGGTTACGTGGCTTGTTTTTACACATAAATTCATTCTGACATCCTCGTGAAATTTATTTCATGTCACATGGATTTGCAATGTAGCAAAATTTGCTTTCTTAATATTTTTTATAATTTTAATTCGGACAATTTTTTTTATTTTTTTTTATTTTGAAAGTTTTTTTCTGTATAAAGTTATTTATTCTTCATCGTATTTTTTGAACATTGATTTCTCATTTTTTAAAAAATGCTAAAACTAAAATTGATATAGCCCTTGTTTGATTGCCATTTTTTGAAAAAAAAAAATTCATTCTTAAACAATTTTGACATCATTTCAATTACATATTTTTCAATAAAATAATATTACACGTAAATTCAAAATTTTTCATTATTTTTCAACCACACATTTCCCATCAATATATTATTTAAAACTTCATTTTTAGCAAAAGAATAGGGATCGAACAAGAGCATAATGTACTTTGATGTCAACTTTTTTTGCATTTTCAAAACATACAAAAATTTGAGAAAATGCTACTAAATCAAGCAATATAAAAAATTTGATGAATTTTCCACTAGCTTATTAAAATCACTACTAAAAATCATGGCTTCAGGCACGGATTTTCCGTTTTTGAAACATCGACATCCATTGCTAGTACTCTTTACTATCGGAATATTTGCAACCACAAATCTGTTGCCAATTTGAGGGTCGCTGATAGTTACCATCGGATCTTGCTGTAGGGAATGAGTAAACATTTTACCAACGAATTTTTCGTTGATAAAGTGTGAATCTTTTACCTACGAAATTTTCATTGGTAAAAATCTTAACCAATACCAACTGACTTTCCGTTGGTAAATGTCTACCATTACAATTAGTAAAAATTAATGTTGTAAATAGCCGTATAGGTGTGAGGCATAGTAAAAATAATAATCATAATATATATATTTTAATTGTTATTATTATTTATTTAATAATTCTAATTTTTTTTTTAAACTTTTAGCCAACCGGATTGAAAGGCCAAAATATTATTTAACAATTCATTGGACTACAAATTATTTTATAGAGGGCAACTACGAAAACTTTGTTGTGAACTTTCGATGTGGGATAACTGAATTACTTTTACCAACGGATAATCCGTTTCTAATTACCAACAGAATATTCGTAGGTGAAAGATCCAAATGTTAAACGATTACATGAGGCTCGGAATATCCATTGGTAAAAACATACCATCGTTATCATTGGAAAATCCGTAGCTGATTATCATAGTTGAAAGTGAATTATCATTACCAACGGATAATCCATTTCTAATTACCAATGGATTGCATCCGTTGATAATATTCGGTACGTCACCTTCGGATATTCTGTAGGTGAAAGATTCAAATGTTAAACGGTCATATGAGGCACAGAATATCCGTTGGTAAAGAAATATCATCATTACCAACGAAAAATCTGTTGCTGATTATCGTAACTGAAAGTGAATAACTTTTACCAACGAATAATCTGTTTCTAATTGCAATCCGTTGGTAATTTTACTTAGGTGAAAAAATGTTTTTTAATAGTGAATATTTTTAAATATTTATTTGTCAATCGCATTTGAAAACTAAGAGGGTGTTTAGTGAGGATTAAAAGTAGATTTTGTTAGAAATTTTTAAAATGTGTGACTGAAAAGTTATGTGATACATGAAAGATATTATTAGAATTGATTTTTTGACTTTGACTCAAAATTAAAATTTCAGCCAAATTGGGGCTAAATCATATTTTAATAACTTTAGAATTATATTTATAATGGTATTAAAATTCATTAAAACTTTCAACTAGCTTTATTAAACTATTCTAAAATATTTATATATGGTAATTTGCTAATTATTTATCAATCATATTTGAAAAAAATAATAATAATATTATCAATTATATAAACAATATTATGATTTAATTAAAATTCTCAACTTGTTTTATTAAATTATTCTAAAATTTGTTTATCTTAAATCATTAATTATTTGTTATTTGTATTTGCCAAGAAAATATTGTTTAATAATTAAATTTTATTATAAGATTATATCGTTATTTTTGTAACTAAATGATATTATCTAAACGAAAAACATGAAAAAGTATATCTTAATAAATAAGAAAAGGAAAATATATAATTTTAATATAATAATAAAATTTTAAAATAGAATAGAAGGGTGAAATGGAAAATTCATTTATTTTTAGCTCACATGGGGAATCTGTTACAAAATATAAATCTCAAGGGAGATTTCTGAAATTTTTAAAAAGGAAGGCGTGTTTCTGTAATTGTCATAAACCTCGGATACGTTTATGTATTTTTCTTTTAAATTTTTATTTCTTCATCTTGAAACAAGCCAATAATAGAGATCTATATATAGTATTGTTGGTTAATGAATTTTAATCATCACAATAGGAAATTAATTTTCCTTTGAAGATTAAAATCATGTAAATGAGGATTTAATTGACCTTGAGATCATTGGATTATAAAATCCTCACATGTATAGAAAGGGGAGATGATAACCTTTTTGAAGGAGCTATTAAATGACCTAGCCAATTGCTTCCTCCCTTAGAACTTCTCCCTTGTTCTCCATTAGTTGTTATTCCTTTTTGAGGTGAAAAGTGACTAACCCTAAATTTCATACAAAATATGCCAATAAAGTGCATATTTATAATGATCTATTATGGTTTGAAAATTGCACAAATTTCCTTAGACTTTATTATAGTAGGCCAATTAAGTCACACACCTTTTATTGGAGCCAAGAAAGGAACCTAATTGGACTCACATGACCCAAGATCCAATAGATGTTTTCAATTGGGTCAACTCTTGACCAATTGAGATACATCTATTAATCCCAACTTATTCTACCAAAAAATCGAGATTGCACTCTTGAGTCGAGTGATAGTTATAGAAGCAAATTATGATCCAGTAGCAATATCTTCTGATTATCGTTCCACAAGTCAAACCCCATTTGACCGTCAATATGTTGAAACTGTCAAAATGATCGTTTTACCCTTCAATACGTATTATCCTCTAAGTCCCATTTTCATACGGCAAATTCGTTGTGATCAAATCACAATGTAAAGTCCAACGATCTCATCGTCGACCTACTGAACTCAGATCAGATTCAATTTGCCCAGGAAAATACTTTAGAGTGACGATTGTCTCATCTTAATGATTAATGGATTCCATTATTGTAAGTATATGATCTCTAATTATTTCGACCCAATTCCCAAAGCACCGAGATCAATCTTCCATTTAAGACTTCACTCATTGGTACCTTAAAGAACTTGAACTAGCAATCAAAGGTACATTACTTACTCAGGATTTAGGTAACATGTTTGATAATCAAGTAGAGTCTCATTTCAAACGGTCACAAATGAGTCATCTACGCGGTCCCATTCA